GCCATGTTTAATGAATGTCAGTTAATTCTCCCTCTGAAAGTTCTCCACTGCCATAGGTTAAGGCTTCAAGAACACCAGAAAGCTGTAACACGAGGGAAAGTGGAAAAATCTAGCGTGGCTGACTACATCTGGAGAGAGAAGGGAGATCACCGCTCTCTGTGGGATTAAGTTGAGATCATAGACACGGAACACCATTGGAAAAATCGTAAACTTAAGGAATCAGCACATATGCTAGGCCACAAAAATCTCCTAAGCCGACCAAGCATAGAAATAAATACAATATGGGAACCAGTAATAAGGAGTGCCAGAGAAAAGCGATAATAACATCAAAGTTGCAATATGAGCTCTGGTAAAATCATGGATGGTAACAGCAAAAATTGCAATATGAGCACTGGTAAAAATGTTTGCTGAAGACATTAGGTTTATAATTCCCAGAAATTAATACCCAAATGTCCTCAAGGCACAGTGGATAAAGGCGTTGGTTAGATCCAGTGACAGGACCCAAAGAGTGTGAGTTCAATACCCGGCTAAGTGGAGAACTTTCAGAGGGAAAATTAACAGGAGATAACTGACATCCATTAAACATGGCACATGGAAGTAGAACAGTCTACCCCAGTGAGCGACATTCCAACCACCTGAAGAAGGTCGAAACGTTGTAATAAATATGGCGACAAAGATGAGGACAATAGTCCGAATAATGTAAATAATGTACATATGGTGGTTTCACAAAGATAACATTGTCAAGAAGACTTACATTGCACATGTCGAATTCAAATTCATTGCACAATATTTAAATGAACATTCCTGTCCATATTCACGCTTTAGAGAAATGTTAATCGGCATGATATAAACAAACACTTCAAATTCTTGAAGCACTCTATATGAAAAAATGCAAACGCCACAAAATAAGTTTAAGTATGAGTATAGCAAAAATGTTTTAAAATGCCTATAGAAGTAATGTTTGATACTCAAAGTGTAAACAATTTTTTTTTAATTGCAGGTTGAGTATTTTAAAACATTAAAGATAAAAAAATTAAATTAAGTTACCTCTCCTAAATATTCTTAACATTTAATTTTTAAACTATAACGGAGAGTGTTTCATGCGCATTTACAAAAAAATTCACAACTCTCAAACTATTATATTATTTAATGTCTTATCAATTCATCCCTGAAGATGATCTTGGATGAGATTGAAAGTACTTGGAAAAATAAAAGAAATAACGAAAAATACGACGATTTTCTTCATCGGTATAAGAGCAAAAATTAAGAAAAACATCCGTCAATTTCAGAGGATTAAAAGAAAAAATAGACGTATTATTATTTCTAGATTATTCAACCAAACATGCTTGAATGAAGATATACTTCCTAAATACACACACACACACACACACATACACACACATATACACACACACATACACATACACACACATATGCACACATATACACGTACACACCCATATACACACACATATACACACACATACACATACACACCAATATACACACATTTACACACACATACACATACACACCCATATACACACACATACACACCCATATACACACACATACACATACACACCCATATACACACACATAAACACACATATACACACATACACACCCAAACACACACATACACACGCATATACACACATACACATACACACAAATACACACACATATTTACACACATACACACCCATATACACACACCCATATACACACACATTCACACACACACACACATACATACAGTGCTGTTCGATAAAAGTGACTCACCTGATTTTTTTTACTTAAAAATTTGTTCGCCTATTGTTTTTGCGGTCAAACTAATTTTTAATCTTACTAATATAAAGACCCCTTCCCGACCACCTAGTAAAAAAGTTTACTCACCCTAAAGTATTCTATTGATAATTATAATTTGCGGGAAAACTCTGTCGAAAAAAAAAACATAACCGAACAGCTTTAAATAAAGAATAATAGAGGTATAATTTATTTATAATAGGTAATATAGTTCGAAATATTTAATAATCTATGGGTCCTCCTTTATTTTGAATAACCTTTTCAAACATTTTTGGAATTGACTTGATTAGGTTCTGTCAAATCTCATTTCCAAGCATTGAATTCCATTCGGATATGAAATTCACAATCAAATCCTCTTTGTTGCTCAACTGCTTTCTCGAGAGCCTGTACTTTATAATGCTCAATACGTTTTCTATGGGGTTGAGATCAGGAGATTGGGGCAGCCATGTCATAACACTCGCCTGCTTCGCATCAAAGTATTCCTTCACCAATTTTGATTTGTGATAGGGACCATTATCCTGCATAAAAATGAGCTTGGTGGGGTCGATTTGCACCATTTCAGCAGAAGGAAGAAAACAAGACTCTAAAATTTTCTTGTACTGCTCGCTCCTGAATAGTCTCTTTTTTCCTAATAGGTTTTAAACCAGTTCCATGAAAAGAAAAAGCATCCCCAGAACATTATACTGAACGGATGCTTGACAGTACTTACTGCTAAATTCAAAGAGCTTTTCAAAGCTTCTTCGTATTTTAGATTGCTTATCCTTTGAATTTAGCTCAACTTTCGTTTCATCGGAGAAGAGAACATTCTTCCAGTCTTCTACGGTGAAATTTGTCTCTTGGTTTTGTTGGCTTTGCTTATTATCGTCTTAAACCTTCGTGTACAAGATTTGTAGCCTTGTTCTAACAGCCACCGACGGACTGTTGAAGAGGCAAGACTAACAACTTGCTCTTCGCTTAGCCTGGCTGCAATTTCTTGGCTAGTTATAGTCCTATTCTTCGCAACTTCTCTCTTGATTACCCTACCAGTTCTATCATCAATCTTTTTCTTTCGTCCCCTTTTTTCCTTCCTTGGAGCAGGAGTGGCATCATTATGTGCCCTAAGAACTCGAGAGACAGTTGATTGCGAAGTTATAGCAATTTCTGCAATTTCTCTCGTAGACTTGCTTGCTTTTGAGAGGCCTTAAGTGGTTCTGAGTGGCTATTTCAAGCTATTTTTATACTGTATGAAGCTCTCTGGAATTTAATTTAAGCTGTTCTAGAATTCTCTAGAATATTGTTCTGAATGTATTGTAAAATAGTTTTCAATATTTTGTCAAAAGTTCTTTAAATTCACCAGTTTAATCATTAGAATGCGATATCTTGAGTCACTTTTTCGAGTTTTTTCCTGAATCTCATTTATATCCAAATTTATAATTATCAATAAAATACCTTAGGGTGAATAAACTTTTTCCTAGGTGGTCGGGCAGGGGTCTTTATATTAGTAAGATTAAAAACTATTTTAACCCCCAAAACAATAGACAAAAAAATATTTTTAGTAAAAAAATCAGGTGAGTCACTTTTATCGAACAGCACTATATATATATATATATATATATATATATATATATATATATATATATATATATTTAACCTGTAGAAAAATGTAATATTTATAAATTTAAATGATAATAGGAAAACTGTAGAGTTGCTGAATATTTCGTCCAATGTTGACTTTCTTAAGGCAAAAAACGAAATGAATTTATTTAAACTTAGTAATTAATAACAAGAAAAACAAAATGCCCTTAGAAGAAAAATCCTAGAGAGTGCCGCCGTTGAATATTACCCAAATATTAATCTACATCCAGGCTTTTTCCCTATTTCACCTTTCTTAACAGAATTACTACTCTCCCAAAAAAACGTACAGAACAGTATCAAGAAATAAAAAAAAAACTAGTTGAATCCGTCAAAACAGAAATAAAAACAATATCTCCCCACGTGACAGTAATTGACGTAATTTTCAGTTAACAGTATGAATATAGCGTTCTCTAAATTCTTCCAGTTGCTAAGGACATTTTGTTTTTGTTTATTAGTTACTTTGTTTAATAAATTCATTTCGTTTTTTTCTTGAGAAAAAGTCCACATTAGACGAAACGCGTCACAACTATTACAATTTTCCTATTGTCATTTATATATATATATATATATATATATATATATATATATATATATATATATATATATATATATATGGACATTGATGTCAAAATTCAGAGGCGACAGTCTGTGTCATGCTAAATGCAATCGTCAGGCCATAAAGGTTGCATATAGTGAAAAATTTTGAAAATTAAAAAAAATAGCAAATTTATTTAATCTTAGAAATTACTTCTTCATTTCCTGATCATAAGAAACACCCTTCAGGAATAAAACAGGATTTAAAGATTTAATTGAAAAAAACACTGAAGGAAATAGAATATAAAAAATACCTCTATGTACTCTTTTTCTTAAATTGGACTATTCGAGTAAATTTGAGTATAACGACGAAGTAATAATTTGACTACTAAAAAATTTAGAGAGAAAAAGAAAGAGAAAAATTTTGAAAGAAAGAAATGAGAGAGAGAAAAGAGAGAGAGAAAAAAGAGAGAAAAGAGAGAAAGAGAGAGAGAGAGAAAAATTTTTTTTTAATGTTTAACGAAAAATATTTAATTTGACTAAAAAAAAGAGAGAGAGAAAAGAGAGAAAAAGAGAGAGAGAAAAAGAGAGAGAAAGAGAGAAAAAGAGAGAGAGAGAAAAAAAGAGAGAAAGAGAGAGAGAGAAAGAGAGAGAGAGAGGCGGAGCAAATTTGAGTATAACGACGAAGTACTAATTTGACTACTAAAAAGAGAGAGAGAGAAAGAGAGAGAAAAAGAGAGAGAGAAAGAGAGAGAAAGAAAGAGAGAGAGAAAAAAGAGAGAGAAAAAGAGAAAAAAATATAGAGAAAGAGAGAAGAGAGGCGGATCAAATTTTGAGTTTAAACGAAGTACTAATTTGACTAAAAAAAGAGAGAGAAAGAGAGAAAAAATAGAGATCCATAAAACTTCAAATTCTTTTAGAGAGAGAAAAAAAGAGAAAGAGAAAAATATTAGAGAAATAAAGAGAGAGAGAAAGAGAGAGAGAGAGAAAAAAAAAATTTGAGAATTAACGACGAAGTTTAATTTGACTAATAAAAGAGAGATCTAAAAGATAGATAAAAAAGAAGAAAGAGAGAGAAAGAGAGAGAAAGAAAAGAGAGAGAGATAAAGAGATTTCAAGAGAGAAAGAGAGAATGAGAATTCAAATTTTAGTAAAATGACGACGAAGTTTTTAATTTGACTACTAAAAAGAGAAAAGAAAGAGAGAGAAGAGATAGAGAAAGAGAGAGAAATAGAGAGAGAAAGAAAAAGAGAGAGAAAAAAAGAGATTTTAAAGAGAGAGAGAAAAGAGAGAGAGATAGATAAAAGAGGATATAACGACGAAGTATTTTGACTAAGTAAAAAGAGAGAGAGAGATTTTAGAGAAAAAAAAGAGAGAGAAAGAGAGAAAGAGTTGAGAGAGAGAAAATGAGAGAGAGAAAAAAAGAGAGAGAAAAGAAAAGAGAAAAATATTTGAGAAATGACGACGAAGTACAATTTGACTAAAAAAGAGAGAGAGAATATAGAATTTAAGAGAGAAGAAGAGAGAGAAAAAGAGAGAGAGAAAATATGAAAGAGAAAAAAAAAAAAAGAGAAAGAGAGAGAAAGAGAGAGAGAGAGGCGGAGCAAATTTGAGTATAACGACGAAGTACTAATTTGACTACTAAAAAGAGAGAGAGAGAAAGAGAGAGAAAAAGAGAGAGAGAAAGAGAGAGAGAAAGAGTGAGAGAGAGAGAAAAAGAGAGAGAGAGAAAAAAAGAGAGAAAGAGAGAGAGAGAAAGAGAGAGAGAGAGGCGGAGCAAATTTGACTATAACGACGAAGTAGTAATCTGACGCCTAATCGTCCCTCTGCTGAAAAAATTCTATGTCGAATCGGCCACGTCGAAAGAGCGACGCCAAATGGCCTACGCCGAAAGAGCGACGCCAAATGGCCTACGCCGAAACGTCCCATTCCAACTAAAAAGACACATCATTGTTTTACGCACCTTTCCTATTTGGGTTTATACTATTTTTTTTTTTAATTCACCCCAAACAAGGAGATAACGCCCTAAGACACAAGGGGCTTCTTGAAATGGAAAGACTTTAGAAGGACCAGAAACCCAATAATACTATAAATTTCAGAATTTCATCGTAGGTACGAGAAAAATAGAGCTGAAGTAGAATTTAGAATGAACCGGAAGCCTAATTCTAAACAGAAAAGAAAGTATAAACCTCTACTTTCCAAAAGACTGAGGAGGAGTGTGAACCGGGTGATAAGCGAACCTATTTACTCAGCTTTAACAGATGAAGAGCAACAACTGTGATAACAAAAAGGCTTGAATAAGTTTAATTATTTTTTTTCACTTGCTTTCTTCTGAGTGCATTTTACCTCGAGGTCTAAGCAATGATCTCCAAGGCGAACACCTGGCAACGTTGATGTTTCATAAAATTTTGTTCCATAAAATTTGGCCGACCTTCACATCAAGTCCGTATTGAAAACAACTAAGAAAACTAATAACAAAAATCAATCAAATTTCTTACTCGACCTCAAATTGGTCAACAGTCAAGCTTATAAGCAAAGTGCAAGACAAGGGTAAGGTTAAAATTTTAGGTAAGTAGTGAGGGTTGGCAGTGTTTGATATTGCGATGTTTCATGTCCAGAAGGGAAGGTCAGGATGCCGAGTGCCTACTGCCAACAATGGTAGAACGAAGTAAAAAGAACTGATCGGCGCACGCATGTCTCATTATCCAATGATTCGTCAGCCAAAGAATGGTTCTAAAACGGTCATCAAATTAACAGTAGGCCAGGATTAGAAACGTTGAAACGATTTGGACGGAATAGATATTGCACTTCGGCTGGAAAAAGAACGTAATATCGGAAGGACGAACTGTGAAGTCGGTTAGGGAATATTGGCGTTATGTTGAAAATGGGCGAAAGTGGAGGAGAGATGTTGGTTGGAATAGATCAGCGAGTAACACTGAAAGAGCTGAGATTTGGTTGAAGTAGTCTGACCAAGGTGTGTGTGGGGGGGAGAAGGAACTTTTCACAGAAGTGGCTAAAGTGTGGAGGCGTGAAAACATACATTTAGATGAGCAGTGACAGATGGGAAGATGAGCAGAGACATGCGTAAACAGAATGTAACCATGCTTAAATAGAGTGAAACACGCAGAGTTAAACAGAATAGAAACATATGAAAATAAGAAGGATGTTGAAAAGCAAACAAGCTAACAAGATAGATATGAACAGACTGAGAAAGGTTAGACAGATTTGAACAGACCGAGATAGATAGATAGATAGATAGATAGATAGATAGATAGATAGATAGGAACAGACTGAGATAGATAGATAGATAGATAGATAGATAGATAGATAGATAGATAGATAGATAGATAAAGAATAGACTGAGATAGATAGATAGATAGATAGATAGATAGATAGATAGATAGATAGATTGATTGATTGATAGATAGATAGATAGATAGGAACTTTTTTTATCAATCTAACAAGTTTCACTTTTATTAAAGCTTCATCATAGAATAAGATATGGGAAAAAAGTCTGGTATTTTTATGATGTTTGATTTTCATTCGTTAATCAGTCTTCACATCAGCGTTCGTATAATTTGACTTTCCGAGGATCAAAAATATAGAGAGACATATTAACAGACTTATATAGGTAGCTAGCTAGATAGATAGATAGATATGAACAGAGTTAAATACATTTTAAACTTAAAAGTAAAACCATTCTATGTCATTTTAAAATTCTATATATTAATGGGACTAAGTAATCTTAATACGTAATATTTTGTCAGAAACTCCATCGTTGCTTACTTATAGTTCACTGCTCCTAATTAAATTTTTTACTCATCATTTTCGATAAGAATGTGAAATATGATTTTTTTGTTTTGTGTGTGTGTGTGTGTGTGTGTGTGAGTGTGTGAATTTATTGTGTGTGTGTGTTTGTGTGTGTGTGTGTGTGTTTGTGTGTGTATGTATTATTTATCAAGTGTGTGTTCCAGTGTGTGTGTGTGTGTGTGTGTGTGTGTGTGTGTGTGAAAAACCATGTGTGTGTGATATGTGTGTGTGTGGGTGTGTGTATTTGTGTGTGTATTGTGTGTGTGTGTGTGTGTGTGTGTGTGTGTGTGTGTGAACAGAGGTGTGTGTGTGTAAAAACAAATACATTGTGTGTGTGTGTGTGTGTGTGTGTGTTTTTGTGTGTGTGTGTGTGTGTGTGTGTGTGTGTGTGTGTGTGTGTGAGTGTGTGAGTGTGTGTGAATGTGTGTGTGTGAGTGTTTGAGTGTGTGAGTGTGTGGTGTGTGTGTGTGTGTGTGTGTGTGTGTGTGTGTGTGTGTCTGTGTCTGTGTGTGTGTGTGTGTGTGTTATATATAGAAATGATTTATATAAAATAAACCCCTGGTCAAAATCTTAAGATCAGATACAAAAGGGTTACAAAAAAATATAAAATACTGTTACTTTAATAAAAAATATATTTGGGAAACATTTATATTTAATTAGAAAATTTGCTTTATCTACAAACAAGTGAACATTTAAGCTTGTAATTGATTAATTTAAACAAACATTGAAAAAAGGATTTTTTGGTTAGCCATAAAGATAAAACCATGTGTGAAAAAAACAAATTACTGGACAAAAAATTTCGAACTAGTCAGTGTGCTCATAGCTTCAAGTGTGTAGACATCTATTTAGCTCCTTTCCAGTATTAAATTTCAGATTTTAAAATATCTGAGGGTAAAATTTTAACAAAGTTCGAAGCGGGTAGAATTGTTGAACTTTAAAGACATGGTCGAATCTAGTTTGGAGATCGTGAAACTTAACAAGCATAAATGGTTGTAAAAGGCTGCATGCTAGAAAATAGCTGCAAAATATCATAAAGATCTTTTAGTTTGAGTCATAAATATTTCCATGTTTCTTTCTCAATTTTGCTCTTCAAAAAGTAAAGTACAATTATATTTTATTCAGTTACATATTCACCGTTACTTGCAATGACTTGTTGCCACTTATCAGGCCGCCATTCGATACCTTTTGAACAAAATTCGGCAGGTTTTGAGGTGAAAACGTCTCCAGCGAACTTCTAAGTCAGTTTTTCCATTATCGAAAGTTTTCTACATCAAAACCACGATTGAAAAAATGTGATAATAGGTTGATGCAAAAATCACATAATCATGGCGGGTAAAGTAGCACAGAACAACCAATAAATTCCTATGTTGTTTGGCTCTATGCGTCTTAGGGTTGTTATGAGGGAGAACTACATTTTTCCTGCACTTTCGACCTAACTTTACGAACATATTGCAGCTGCTCGATTTATAAATGTGCATATAGCGTTTCATTGTGTTTTCGGAAAATGAAAGAGTCATACTCCGCCAATCCTACCACACACCCAACATTCTTTTTCTTCCATGTGCCCTGCTCCTTGGTGGCTCTCCACAATTTCCTGTCCTTTGTGGCTCTTAATAAATGTTGACTTTTTGTTATCTCTCCTAAACAATTTTCCAACATTAATATACTAAAACTTACTAGTTATGTGTTTTCCTTCTTGCATCCAATCTGTCCTGTGAGTATCAAATTTTCCAAACCCTCTCTTCTAATTATGTGACCTAGAAACTCCAACTGTCTCTTCCAGTTGTTATGTATAAGTGTCATTGTTGCTTTGTTCGGTCCATAGTAATCTCCCTATCTGTAGAACCACTTTTTGTGGCTTCAAGTCTCTTCTTCATTTGTGAAAAGATTCTCCAGCATTCACTACCTTATATGAATTAATATTTGGTTTCCATTTTCTCTAAAACTTAGTCATTGCTCACATGTTCGGTCCATGTTGTTCTCAGCATCCTTCTGTAGAACCACCTTTCTGTGGCTTCAAGTCTCTATTTCATCTGTGAAGAGATTCTTCAGGATTCACATCCATAGAGGAGTACCGATATAGATAATAGTTCAATACACGTTTCTTGTTTTAAATGAAATTTTCCTGTTTCTTAATACTTTGCTTAGATTTGGGAGGCATATTTCGCTATCCCAATACACCTTCTGATTTCAATGTTACATTTTCCGCCGATTGTTAAACTACTTCTTTGATATTTAAAAGTAAAAGTGAAACGAAGTTTTCATTCTTCTGTGTGCCGTGTCTCTTCAGAACATGGGCGATTATGGCTCTCCACAACTTTCTGTCATTTGTAGCTATTAGTAAAGTTTGTCTTTTTGCTGTATCCCCTAATTCCGGTTCTGCCAATCATCTACAAATGCACGGCAATTTTCTGCTTTTCTCTTTCCCTCTTGTCAAATTTTTCAAGCTCTCTTTCTTCGTTATGTGCTCTAGAAATTTCAACTGCCTCCTCCTGTTGTTACGTATTATTCTCCTTTTTGTGTCCATTTTCTTTAATGATAAGTCGTTGCTTACATGTTCGGTGAATGGAGTTCTCAGTATCCTTCTGTAGAATCACATTTCTGTTGCTTCAAGTTTTGTCTTCATCTGTGAGGAATGGTCCAGGATTCACAGCGATATATCAGTAACTAAATAGATAATAGCTCAGTACTATTTCCTGTGTTTCTAATGAAGTTTTCCTGTTTTTTAATACTTTTCAAGTCGATTCTTCATCTGTGAGACGGCATAGATATCATCTTTTGGATACGGTTGAGGATATTTATCATTCCACTGCCTTTTTTGTTGAATTGTTCTGTTAGTCGACTTCAAAATTCTTCTTAAATTCCACGTATGCATAGTAGTTGGCCTGATAGATACATCGATGCATTTGATTCCTCAAAACGAGCATTATTTAGGACTCAACCTAATAGAAGGTTTCTATTTGGATAGGCCCATATTTGGACAGCCGAAAAATGGCAAGTATATTGATTGCCATTTGAGAAGCAATAAGAAATTACTGATGTTGGGATTCAAAATGAGGAGAACTAACACATCACTGTCACTATTTACATTATTCGGACTATTGTCCTCATCTTTGTAGCCATATTTATTACAACGTTTCGGCCGTTGTACGCTCCGGTCGAAACGTTGAAAGAATAATGACAATAATGTACATAATACCTCATGTCAGAAATCTAGACAGATACTGAAGGGCCGAAACGATGTAATAAATATGGCGACAAAGATGAGGACAATAGTCCGAATAATGTAAATAATGTACATAATACCTCATCTCAGAAATCTAGACAGATACTGAAGGGCCGAAACGATGTAATAAACATGGCAACAAAGATGAGGACAATAGTCCGAATAATGTAAATAGTGTACATAATACCTCATCTCAGAAATATAGACACATCACTGTCAATCATAGCCTGAACACCAGTGTAATCAGCATATAAACGGTGTCTGATTGGCATAAACTGTCAATAACGACAGAGAGTAAGGCATCAAAATATGACTTCTCTTTAATTAATTATCTGAGATACGGAAATTCGTACACTTTCAAACTATAGGTACGTACGTGTGGAAATTTTTGTCTGATAGCTTTGATTATGTTAAATTGATTTATAAAGGAAGACATCAGAACATTCCAGAATATTGACAATAAGCTTGCATTCGAATAGAAAATGAGTTCAGCATCTCTCTATATCTCTGAGATGAGGTATTATGATAACTTGCATTATTTACATTGTTCAAATAGTTATCCTCATATTCACTGCCATATTCACAACGTTACGGCCTCTATATCTCTGAGATGGGGTATTATAATTACTTGCATTATTTACATTATTCGGACTGTTATTCTCATCTTCATTGCCATACTCACAACTTTTCGACCGTTGTACGCTCTGGCCTTCTTTAGGTGGTTAGAATTTTGAACTGAACCTTTTATTATCTGTCAATATCTCTGAGATGAGGTATTATGATTACTTACATTATTTACATTACCCGTACTGTTATCCTCAGTTTCATTGTTATATTCACAACATTTCGGTCGTTGTACGCTCCGGCCTTCCTCAGGTGACTGGAATTATGAACAGAACCCTTTAATATTTGTCTATATCTCTGAGATGAGGCATTATGATTACTTACGTTATTTGAATTATTCGGACTGTTATCCTCATCTTTATTGTTATATTCACAACGTTTCGGCCGTTGTCTGCTCCGGTCTTCTTCTGTTGATTGGAATTTTGAAAGGAAGATGAAAATAAAGATAACAGTCTGAATAATGTAAGTGTAGAATAAATTCACTAAGTAAATACTGAGAATCGTAAAAGAACGAGAAGAGATTCAATTATTTTGGGGACATACATTCTTCACAGTAAAAGGAGTCGCTTGTTAATTTTCACCATTCAAAGACGACTCAATTATGTATATAGGCGTGGGAATATGCGAATATATATATATACACGTATGTACAAGTATACAAAAATTCTCTAATATTTCTATATGTCTGGGTGTGTGTATCTCTATACACGTATATGCAAATATATATATATATATATATATATATATATATATATATATATATATATATATATATATGTGTGTGTGTGTGTGTGTGTGTGTCTGTGTCTGTGTGAAAAGTGTATATAAATATAAATAAATATATATATGTATAATTATTTATATATTATATACGCGGTACTTATTAGAAAGCGCTCAATATCAGAGATAGAGTTAACATATTTGGTTGGATCTATCCAACTAGGCAAATATATATATATATATATATATATATATATATATATATATATAATATTATGAATTAACTGATTGAAAATATGGTTTTTGCACTTCACACTACTCACACAGAAACATATATATATATATATATATATATATATATATATATATATATGTTGACTATTAGGATTTACACTA